CCCCCACTTTAACTTTCACGTAAACGAACGAAACTCGCGACGCATATCTAGGGTGCGGAGACAAACAAAAAAGCCTCTTGGAGGGGTATAAAATAACGTACAGGAAGTCGGACATTTTGAATTTTGGCGTCGGAAAAACGCCCTCTGCACAAAATCTATCTTCTCCCAGGGACTTTATCCGTACGACTCGAAATTTGTCGGGTAGCGTCTCGAGACATGGGCAATTCAAAGTTATCACAGAATTTTTTTTCTTTCGCACGGCGTAGCCGTGATTTGGCGCCAAAGTTCGCGTTCGCTTGATGCTAGGCGATCCCTCGCCATGGAACACGATGATGTCATAACACCAACTGACATACTCAGAACGCCACCAAACTTCACATGATGGTTAACACTGCGGCCCTGAACAGCTCTACGCAAATTTGATGTTACTTAATATGGCGTTACCATGGCAACGCATCCCTCGCCATAAAACACGGTGTCGCTGTAACTCCAATGAACACGGTCCCATCGTCCCCCAATCTTCACTTTTATATCACCGGTCCATGCCTCAACAGCTCTACGTGAAATCTGAGATCTCACCGTATGCCGTTTCCATGGCAACGCATCCCTCGCCATAAAACACAATGTTGTCTTAAGTCAATGGAAAATGGTTCAAACTGCACCACACTTCAGATGATGGCTAATGGTCCGGCCCTCAACAGCTCTATGCCAATTATGGGATGTTATCATATGCTGTTTCCATGGCAACGCATCCCTCGCCATAAAACACAATGTTGTCTTAAGTCAATGGAAAATGATCCAAACTGCACCAGACTTCATATGATGGCTAATGGTCCGGCCCTCAACAGCTCTACACCAATTATGGGATGTCATCATATGCCGTAGCCATGGCGACAGATCCCTCGCCATGAAACACTGTGTTGTCCTAACTCACTGGAAAAACGTCCAAACTGCACCAGACATCAGATGATGGCTAATGGTCCGGCCCTCAACAGCTCTACGCCAATTATGGGATGTCATCATATGCCGTTTCCATGGCAACGCATCCCTCGCCAAAAAACACAATGTTGTCTTAAGTCAATGGAAAATGATCCAAACTGCACCAGACTTCAGATGATGGCTACTAGTCCGGCCCTCAACACCTCAATATGACAATAGTGAGTTTTCCTCTAAAGCTGTTGCCATGGCAACGCATCCCTCGCCGTTAAGCACGATATTGCTATAACTCCTGTGTAAATGGTAAAAAAGTGTTCAAACTTTACATGTGTGCTAACGGTACAGCCCTAAAGACATATATGTGTCAGTTTTGAGATTTCGTCAAATGCCATTGCCATGGTAACAAAATGGTCGCCGTGAAACACGGTTTTCTCATAACTCCAGTTAACATGCTCCAAACGGCCCAGAACTTCACAGGTTTGATAACGATGCAGCCCTCAACACATCTAGGCGTATTATGGGGTGTCATCAAATGCCGTTGCCATGGCGACAGATCACTCGCCATCAAACACAATGTTTATGATACTGCTGTAAATCCCATGTACGTTGTCCGATCGGCCTGAAACTTCCCACGTTTGCCAACGGCCGAGTCCTCGAGACACCTCGACGTGCGGACAACAGCCTGCGGAGCGTCGAAGACCCGCTCAACGCTGCTTGCAGCTTTAATTATTTATTATTTTTGGAAAATTCCATATATTTCTGAAAAAGAAATGGTCAGGAACTAAGCCAACAATTTATTAATGACTTGAATGCTTTTTGCACAATCTAAAAAAAAAAACTTAAACATGTGTTAAGACCTTGAAGTTATTAAATGAATATAGTAACACAAACTCTGGCTTTATCATGCAATAATGTGTTTGATATATTTGTTGTTGTGGTAAAGATTATCAGCATTTGTAGAGTTTGACTTATTCTTGTATTTTTTTACAATAACAGGGTTTAATGACTGTGGATATATTTTTAACCTTATCTGACAGAAAAATATATATCCTAGCCTTGATGATACACAAAGATATCCCTTAACATTTGAATTCACACACAGGAACCAAACAGCATTAAAATACCCCCATAATTAACTGGAAGTCACATTATACATTTGTTGTTATTTTTTTACTCAACAGACTATGAAAAAGACATGTAGACATATAAGTGAGACATAGAAAAGCTGCATTCTGCTATTTGTCTTACATCTTGTTAAACCTCAACTGTAGTCTGAGCTACAGGCACAGAGCTGGAGTTTGACAAACGGCGGAAGGTCTCACGAGCTTGCAGGATCAGCTGTCTGAGCTGAGCAGGAATATGTTCATCTCCATGGAGGTAAACCAAAGGGTTGAGAGCACTGTTCAGACACACAAGGCCACGACTTATCTGATGAGCAATGTAGACTCCATCAAACCATTTACAGCATTTTCTCTGTTTGGACAGTACTCTTGACCAGAGGTTGAGGTTCTTCAACACATGATAGGGGATGTAACAAACCGAGAAAAGAAGAATCAAGATGAACAACAACCTTAAACTTCTCTGTTTCAGTACATTGTTGGTGTTTGTGCGACAGAGCACAACAATCACATGTCCATAGCAGCCCAGAGCGATCAGGAATGGGATCCAAAACCCAGTGAGAGTCCATCCAAGGCTGTACTTCAGGTAATCCTCAACGTGTTTCTTACCGGTTGTATCATAACATTTCCCAGTCTTGTTTCCAAACGTTTTGCTGAAGAACATGTCTGGAACAATTTGAATGCTCACCAACAGCCAAACCAAGACTGAGATCCCAACAGAGTGGAGGACAGTTATTCTTCCCATAACTCTCACTGGATGGACAATAGCCAGGTACCTGTACACACTTATACAAGTGAGGAACCCAATGCTGCCATACAAATTCAGGTTGAAGCAGAATCTTGTTATCTTGCAAAACACATCTCCAAAGATCCACTTACTGCCCATTAAGTAGTACACCACTACAGGTGAGCAGATACAAAATATCAGCAAGTCCGAGGTTGAGAACAAAGACATTGATGATCTTTAGTTTCTTCGAGTTGTGCAGCAAAGACTTTAATCCCCATCCATTAGCTACCAGACCAACGATGAAGACTAAGATGTAAACGGGTGGCAGAAATGTGTGTTCAAAGTTAAAGCTGACACGAGGACATGATTTGTTCATCATTCTGTCTCTCTTAAAGCAGCAAATACTGTAAAGCAAGTATGCTACTAATACTGAGGATGATTAAAGTAACTGACAATTTGTATTTCAAAGTGGCTTCCTGTGAGTTTTCTTAGAATCATGATTAAATGGAAAATCTTGCTGATCAAATGATAAAACCACACAGGATGCATGAAATTATATTTTTGCCCTATCGTGACCTCATTTGTTATCTAGCACCATCACCATGACAGTTACCAATGCTTTAGGTCAGGGGTCTGCAACCCCTGGCACGCGTGCCACCAATGGCATGCGGCACCGTAACCAGTGGCACACTAGGAATAAGTGGAATAAGTGTACAAAATATTTATTTTATTTTCGGATCCTGAACGAGACCGCCGCCAGAGCGCGTCTCCCCGTTACCTGCAGAAGGAAGCCATGCACGCAATGCAGCCCCGCTCTCTTTAACTCCAGGCGACTTTCTGCCGCTTTCCTCCGTAATGCAGTGCTGATAGTTTCACCACAGAGGAAAGCACTTCACAAATTGCAGTACCCATAAGGAGCTGTAAAAATGCCGCAGTTTTTGCGTGGCGATCGATATCGGCCGATACTCACTCTCTGCCGATCGATCGGTGCTCTCTAAAAAGGCCGATCGCGAGACGTAAAATACATGACACTTTTCTCTGTGTGCGGCAAAACAAGCTCGCCAAAATGGCTTCACCAGTCTGGCAGTATTTTAAGGTGTCCGAAAAAGACAATAAAATAGCGGTGCAACGTGTGTGAAGCAGATATCCTGCAGCTCCACCCACTGTGACGGACCGGTGAGCGGAGCAAAACACACAAGAGTTAGACCTAACACACTTAGCTATTTGATCTACCTCTGGAACTAGTTATAAATATATTTATTCTTCACTGTCACTCATTACTGGATCAGTGAGCTGCATGAGATACTGACAGGCTGTCAGGAGAGAGAGAGAGGGGAGAGAGGAAAAGAGAGCGCTTCCGCTCATTTCTCCCGTGTTATTATCCAAAGTTAATGTAAACTTGAATAATGTAGGCTACTTCATTTGAATGTAACAATTATGTTGGTTGTTGCTTGTGGAAGCGCCAGTGAATGAGCCCCATTAACTGAGTTTTAAACATCACTTTTCACGAGTGTTTTCGTTGAGCTCTTCAACCCCCCCCCCCCCCCCCCCCCCCCCCCGTTGATAATTCCCGATCGTCGGCACACTGATAAAAAAAATTTTTTAGAATGGCACTTCATATCAAAAAGGTTGCCGACCCCTGCTTTAGGTTATAATCAAGCCTTCTAAACTAACGGCATTACTATCAGCCGCAGCTAGTTTGCGTTTAATAAGCACATGTTTGCATGCTTACACTAAGATTTGTTAACATTTATCCCCAAGCATAGCTCTGCCCGAGTACAGCCTACAGAGACGCCACAGTTGGTCTGACTGTTTCTTTTCCTTTCTGGTTTGTAATCCCCATCTTTTAATTAGATATACAATTCCGGTTTGCCTCCACCCGTTAATCAACATAATTACTATTTTCACAGTGTAACACTAACGTTGGGGGATTTTTTGCACAACTAGCCTAACATTGTTGTTAAAATATCTAATGTTAAAGTCACATTGTGCGAACATTAGTTATACGTACAGTACCAATATTGACACTTGAATGTGCTTTTGTTCTTTTTAGGGTTTTCCAGTGCACCCCTTTGTGCAGTTGATGCAGGCGTGTTGCAACAGGTGGAGCTTTACAACTTGCATCCTGTTTATTTTTACACATTCACACTTCCCTTATTAATTCAGAGAGCATGCATCACAAATTAGCGTCCCCCAACAAAACACAATATGTAGTCCTGTTCTCTTTGCCATCATTTCTTTATTAATATGAATTTTCAGAGCTTTTTTAAGCGTTTGAACAGCAAGATGACCACCACAAAAACCATGACAAGGTTCAATACATGTTTTAATAGTAGAAGATGATGCAATACACTTTTATATGCACATCAGACAATTTACATCAAGGGAACTTGACTAGGGGTGCTGGAAGGTCTTAACGCAGCTTGGCGAGCTCGCTGTAGTAGACGTCTGAGCTGAGCAGGAATATGTTCATCTCCATGGAGGTAAACCAGAGGGTTGAGAGCACTGTTCAGACACACAAGGCCACGACTAATCCGATGAGCAATGTAGACTCCATTGGACCACTCACGGCACAGCCTTTGATTTAACAAAACTCTTGACCAGAGGTTGAGGTTCTTCAATAGATGATAGGGGATGTAACAAACAGAGTAAAGCAGAATCAAGATGAACAACAACTTCAAGCATCTCTGTTTCAGTACCTTGTCAGTGGTGTTTGTGCGACAGAGCACAACAATCACATGTCCATAGCAGCCCAGAGCGATCAGGAATGGGATACAAAACCCAGTGAGAGTCCATCCAAGGCTGTACTTCATGTAATCCTCGACGTAGGTCTCACCGGTAGTATCATAACATTTTCCAGTATTGTTTCCAGACGTTTTGCTGAAGAACATGTCTGGAAGACTTTGAATGCTCACCAGAAGCCAAACCAAGACTGAGATCCCAACAGAGTGGAGGACAGTTATTCTTCCCAAAACTCTCATCGGATGGACAATAGCCAGGTACCTGTACAAACTTATGCAAGTGAGGAACCCAATGCTGCCATACAAATTCAGGTTGAAGCAGAATCTTGTTATCTTGCAAAACACATCTCCAAAGATCCACTTACTGCCCATAAAGTAGTACACCACCAAAAATGGCACTGTGAGCAGGTACAAAACATCAGCGAGTCCGAGGTTGAGAACAAAGACATTGATGTTCCCCAGTTTCTTCCAGTTGTGCAGCAGAGACTTTAATCCCCATCCATTAGCTACCAGACCAACGATGAAGACTAAGATGTAAACAGGAGGCAGAAATCTACCTGAAAAGTCAAAGCTGACACGGGGACAAGACGTGAAATTCATTGTCATCAGGATGGCAGTTCCTTCTCTCTGTGAGTGTGAGCCAAAATACAAAGACAATCTAAATCAGAGCGTGGATGGTTGAGAGAAGACTTCCTGTTTAAAGCCACAGCTTTCTAATTTGACTTTCTGGAGCTGCACAAGATACAGGAAATGACAATGCTCTGCTGGTTAGTCAGATTTATAAAAAAATTATAGAATACAATTAAAGTTATCTTAATCAGATCCTAGTCCACACGTACATGTTTACATGTGTGGCATCACTGCATTCTGTATCTTTCTCTGACAACCTTATGAGAAATGGAAACTGAATGTAACAAGTGTTAAACATTTATGCTATGCCTATATAATATATATGTGTCATATTGTGTAGAGCCAAAATAGGCACCCCTATCAATATGCATTTAAATTAAAGAACAGGTTTTCACAGAACTAAATTCAAATGTTGTCTTTATAAACTTTATAATTTGCAGTTTGAATATTAGAGACACAGTTGGTGGCTAACCCATTGCAGTTACAGTATTTCCTGGGGGGCGTAAAAACCACATCCTGTTGTAACCTACTTTCTGTTGCATCTGATCAACAGTTAGCTGATGGTATCTGCATGTAGAGTGACTGTGCTGCCATCAACCTCAGCAGTAGATGCTCACAAGATGTCAGGAGAATGTTAAGGTTGCATCTACAAGAAGCAATTAAGTAGTGGTCCTTTTATGCTTTTTGGGTTTTCCCTTCCCTGTAGTGTGTTAAATAGGTTTTTGTGCTTGTAAATGGTCTGCAGAGGCTAACACCCCAAAGTTCCCTTCAGAGGGAGTTTCTCTCGCACACACAATTTGGCTTCATTATTTATATAAAATACCAAAAATGTTGTTTATTTCTGTGTGCTTCAAACATGTTTTTAACAGCTCATCATCAGAGAGAAGAAGTGTACTGTAAAATGATTTATGAAAAAAGGCCACAAAATATACATTAGGAAAATATGAATCTTTGAACATTCTAATATGAAAAAATATGAATAAAAAATACAAAAATCATTTAAAAATACAGGACATATGTGAAGTATTTTCCACTTACATCTGTATAGAATTATTTACAACAAAACATTAAATCAAAAAATCAAGTGCAATGTCACATTACTACAAAAACTGTACAGGTTAAAAGTTGAACTGCTCAATATCGGTCAACACAAAGGTTGGGGTCATTCTTTGGGATCATTTTCTATCTAACAAACTATGCCCTTAAAGGCATACACTAAATTGCCGGTAAGCAATGTAAACATTTCTTTAAAACGTTCTTTATGACCATATCAAGACAAAGGCCAACTGTCTTCACTTCATATTAAAATAGGAACAATTCATTTAAATTACAAGAAAATGGGTTTTGTTGGCCTCAATATGGAAGGCAGAATTATTCATTGAATTGCTTCACTCTAAAAACTTAAAAAATGTAACAAGACTTTAGATAAATCACAAATGCCACCAGTTGTAATTCCTCTCTATTGGCTCCCTGTCATTTTGAGGATTGATTTTAAAATGCCACTTTTGAAAGAAAAGGTATTAAGTATGTGGCACGTCATTTAAGAGGAGAAGTCTCAGAGAAGGCGAATCAGTACTACTTGTTTTATTGATTGCCTTCTCAGACTGGTCTATCATACCCTTATCCAATTCATCTAAAGCACTTTGTAACCTCTGTGTTAAGAGCACAGTGGTAAATAAAGCTTCTTTCGTTCCTCTGGATTTGACACATAATGAATGGCGCCCCAAGGTGTGGGAATTACAAGTAGTTGTGAATAAGTGCAGTTTGAGATTGTGCATGTGTGAAGATCGGCGTTCATCCCAACTCAATCACAGTTTATATTTAAAATTATCCTTTTCTCTCTTGTTGGGTCAGTCTTTGAGAGGATGTGGATCCGCCTCAGTGAAGTCTTATTGTTCTGAGCGACCCGGCGCTCACACAGGCCGCTCAGGGCCGATATCCCCACAGAGCCGGGTTACTGTAGGGGGCGTAGGGGCAGTTGTTATGACAAACACACGAGTGGATCATCATCACGGGTCGCTGGAGCAGTCTGCCGGTGGAGCAGCGGAAGGAGACCTCAGCCGTGGTGGTGTGGTACGGCGTGCAGCAGCGGGACGGTGCACTGTCCGCAGTACCGGAGCTGGAAGGCCTGAGTGCTGAAGCAGCCCTGGTGAACGAGTCGGTCGGGGCCTGGTGACGTGTAGCTGGCCTTGCACTGTCCCTGCTGACCCCACTGGGGGAAAAAACAGCATGCACACACAACATTTACAGCAACAGAACTCCACAAGGTACCTTTAGATTTTAATTTGGCTGTGCATTGCGGCTTTGATTTAGAGAAATCTTTGTAATGTCAGTTTTTTTTCACAATGAGCATATATCTGTAACTAACCCTTGTTGTATCTATCCATTGCTTAGTATTTGTTTATCATCTTAAACGTAAGTTTATAAAGTTGAATACCTAAACATAAAAAGGTAGCATACTCACAGATCTTCAGGTTCAAGTTAAACAATTGCGTTTTCACCATTTCGTTTTTTCCATGTCAAACAAACATGCTAACGTTCTTTTAGAGCACAAGTAAAGTGGAAGTCGTGGCATTGGACAAGACTTCCATTTATATGTTTGAGAATAAATTGGTGGAATGTTAAAGATTATCAGCATTTGTAGAGTTTGACTTATTCTTGTATTTTTTATAATAACAGGGTTTAATGACTGTGGATATATTTTTAACCTAAAAACCTTTTCTGACAGAAAAATATATATCGTAGCCTTGATGATACACAAAGATAACTTTTGAATTCACACACAGGAACCAAACAGCATTAAAATACCCCCATAATTAACTGGAAGTCACATTATACATTTGCTGTTCTTTTTTTACTCAACAGACTATGAAAAAGAAATGTAGACATATAAGTGAGACAGAGAAAAGCTGCATTCTGCTATTTGTCTTAACCTCTTAAGCCCGGCGATCCCCCCATTGGACCCCTCCCACTTTTTTTTTTTTAGATAATGTCTCAGGGCTTCTTAAATTTATGAAACTATTAATGTGTAGCACTCTCATAATAATAATAATCTCAGCTAACTGAAGATATGAACCATTTTTAGCTAAAAGAAACACAAGAGTAATACCAAGCCTTAGAATTAGCATTTTGCGAAAAAATGCTAACTAATGCTAACGGAGTTTTGCACAGCACTCACTCTCAAAATGCCCTTATTACTTATCGTAACTGCACAAACAAGATATCCGATTAAAGCTGAGACTCCACATATTCCATACATGTAGTGTCATCACTGTACGACCCTGAATTTGCGGAGCTTTCAGCCAGAAAAGAGAAAGTAAACAACATCCGGTTTCAAAAATATTACAATAATTACATCTTACCTTTTTTGATCTTGTTAAACCTCAACTGTAGTCTGAGCTACAGGCACAGAGTTGGAGTTTGACAGAAACAAACGGCTGAACGTCTCACGAGCTTGCAGGATCAGCTGTCTGAGCTGAGCAGGAATATGTTCATCTCCATGGAGGTAAACCAGAGGGTTGAGAGCACTGTTCAGACACACAAGGCCACGACTTATCTGATGAGCAATGTAGACTCCATCAAACCATTTACCGCATTTTCTCTGTTTGGACAGTACTCTTGCCCAGAGGTTGAGGTTCTTCAACACATGATAGGGGATGTAACAAACGGAGTAAAGAAGAATCAAGATGAACAACAACCTTAAACTTCTCTGTTTCAGTACATTGTTAGTGGTGTTTGTGCGACAGAGCACAACAATCACATGTCCATAGCAGCCCAGAGCGATCAGGAATGGGATCCAAAACCCAGTGAGAGTCCATCCAAGGCTGTACTTCAGGTAATCCTCGACGTCGATCTTACCGGTTGTATCATAACATTTCCCAGTCTTGTTTCCAAACGTTTTGCTGAAGAACATGTCTGGAACAATTTGAATGCTCACCAACAGCCAAACCAAGACTGAGATCCCAACAGAGTGGAGGACAGTTATTCTTCCCATAACTCTCACTGGATGGACAATAGCCAGATACCTGTACACACTTATGCAAGTGAGGAACCCAATGCTGCCATACAAATTCAGGTTGAAGCAGAATCTTGTTATTTTGCAGAACACATCTCCAAAGATCCACTTACTGCTCATCAAGTAGTACACCACCAAAAATGGAAGTGTGAGCAGATACAAAATATCAGCAAGTCCGAGGTTGAGAACAAAGACATTGATGATCTTTAGTTTCTTCGAGTTGTGCAGCAAAGACTTTAATCCCCATCCATTAGCTACCAGACCAACGATGAAGACTAAGATGTAAACGGGTGGCAGAAATGTGTGTTCAAAGTCAAAGCTGACAGGAGGACATGATTTGTTCATCATTAGCCGCGTTCACACCAAGTACTTTCCTGTACTTAGTTCCGGCACTAAGAGCCCCGGCGCTTTTAACCCCAGGGCACTTAGTACAGATCGCGTTCACACCGGAGTACTTTTCCCTGAGGGAAGATTACGCAAATGAGCCGCTGACGTCACTTCTTCTTCTGCTTTGGCTTTACTGGCTGACCACAAACCACTTCACGGCGAGTACAGTAGGTGGCGGTATGCACCTTAAAGTTGTTTGCAATCCGCTACAAAACAAGAGAAGAAGAAGAAGAAAAACTTCCCGCGTATACTGCGACGCCCACCCACTCGCTGTACATTAGGCGTCTGTTGTTTACCTTCCGACCTCAGACATGATGGAGATGGAGTCGACTGAAGTTGTGCTGTTTGTGCTCATGTTATACAGCTTTGTAACTTCGTTAATGCGGCCTGAGCCAGAGCCTGAGCCTGTGCCTATTAGGCGTCCGACACAAATCCGGAGCCGCCACACGTCGAATGCTATAATCGCAAAGTTTCTTCAGCATCAAAGGCAGTTCAAAAGCCTTAGGAAAAGGATTGGCCGACGGAAAGCACACATGATTGCCATGTTTCACCGTAGGATGGCTGATGACGATAAGCAAGATACAGGATCTGTTTAATCGCCATGTCGGTTTTCTTTATTGCACTCTCAA